TACATTTTGCAGGCACCAAATTACCATACACAGTCACACTGAGGTGAATATATTTATACCATACATGAATCTGCCTAGTGAGCCCCTTTGAACAGTGAATAACCAATTAAAAATAAATTCCTGTAAATGAACAGAACATGCCCCCCCCCGATCTAGTTAGTAAGTGATTAAAAGTGACATTTGCTATTGCATGAGGTGAAACTGCAAAGTTCTCTAATGAAAAACCTGTTAAATGGACACCAAGCTATGAAAATAGCAAACATTTGGAGCCAGATTTGTACGGGTAGTTAGGCATTTACATGAATTTTCAAACGTATGTAGGAACCGACTATCCATTGAAATGAATGGGTGACAGGTCTCTGTGTGCTTCTGAACATTTACATGGGCACATAAATACCTTTACAGATCGGGCCCTTGCTGCACTGATGCCAGGTTCTCATCAGGTTTCTGCTGCAAAAATTGTTCTGGTAAATTTTATTCCCTACGTGCAGTCATGACACAGCTCAATAATGCGTATGCGCTGTGTCATGTACCTGGCAGGCTTCTGCATAACACTGGCACGTCAAAGGTGCCACTACGACATCAGCAGTGACAAGCTGAATGCTGACAGCACTACTAACGAGGAACTAGGGATTATTTTGAGGACTAATTAGGAGCGAAGAGTTGTCTTAATTCTCTTGTTTTAATTAGCCATGGTATCATAAAGTCAAGAGCAAATATTGCTACATAACTTCCTACAAGAGTAATGGGAAATGTGAGGCATGGTACAAAATGCTAACTAGTGAACATGGCTTGTTTGGGATTTTTTTTTTCAATATTATTCCATAGTTCTCTGCAAGTTAAACAAGGGTAGCATCAGAATGTTAACTAGGGAGGTGTTTCCTGAAAACAGCTCGCTGCACTCATGAATTCCACATCTCCTAAGGCAGTAGAAGATCTTTAAATTGAAAATCTGAATCTCAGATTCCCCAAACGGTCTTTTTCTACCTCATCCTTCTCTTTCAACCTTCTTTCTATCACTTACTTTTGGTCGACTGAAGTCGAATTTTATTATTTTTTTCCAGATATAGTAATATTCAACACACTGTGACACACTCTTAGTCTGAATCTATCAGGAAAAAACAGAAGTAATCCACAGTTAGTATATCAGACTATCATTATTTGTGCAAAATACAACACAAAACTGGTGTCGGGGGGGACGACGACTGTATTCACTCTCACCAACAATGGGTGTCCAGACACTGCAACAGCAGGAGCCACATAAGCACCTAGAAACATATATTTCTGATATCTACTCACCCCAAAACTAGGAGCCAATCTGAGAGGTTTAATTAATTTATGTTTGTAACATGCTTTAATAGTCTTTAATACAATTTCATGCTGCCTCCGCTATAGTAAAGTAGTGTGCCTGAGCCCAACTCCTCTCCTTAGAAAAGACAGGAAGCTGCTGGCAAGGCATTCCCCCAGAGGGCTCTGGGCCTGGTTTCCCGCCTGGGTTGATACAGCCCAAATTTGGTAAACTTCCTGGCAGATTCCCTACAACGACAGCACAGAATTGCCTAAAGTTACTTGGACATATTGCTGCTTGCACATATGTGGTATAGCACACCAGGCTGCGACTTGGCCCAAGTTTACAGGCCAAACCGAAACCACCTGGACAGACTAGTCGCTCTTACACCACAGGTTCCCCAGTCCTTCTGGCAGTGGCTGGACCCACAAGCAGTGTGTATAGAAATATCCTTCTCCAGACCTCAGCCAACACTGTGGTGGGGAATCTGCTGAGATCTTCTATGATGGCCCTCATGACAAGGAAACAAGCTTCCAGAAGAAAAACCCTGGCCTACCTGGATCTAGCAGGGCTCTGATATACTCTACCTTCTCAGTGGGAGTTAAAGTTGATGTTACCACGTTCAGAATGAGTCTGAGCATGAGAAACATGGTCCTGCACACAGGCCCAGCCTTAGGGCAAGGCGAGCAAGGTGTTTGCCTTGGGCCCCGCGCCTTCAGGGCCCCGCGCTTGCCCGCCTGGCTGCTCACTTGCTGCCCTGGCTGGGAGCCCCCCGGCCACGCAGTACAGCCAACCACAACATGCCGCCTTGGACCCTGCAAACTCTTTGGCCGGGCCTGCCTCCACATGGGCCCAAGATTGGCCCTTGATTAGCCAGTTGTTCAGGTCGGGGGATACCTGCACTGGCCGCTTCCAAAGGAGGCCATGTACTTGGTGAACACGCAAGGGCTTGCTAAGAGGTCGAAGGGGAGGACCAGGACCTGATAGTGGGGTACTGTTTACCACACACTGAATGATGGAGATGTGAAAGTACGTGTCCTTCAAGTCAAGGGCAGCATGTCAGTCCCCCGAATCCAGAGAGGGGGATAACGGAAGCCAGGGAGACCACACAGAACTTCAACTTCTTCATGAATCTGTCGAGGTTTTATAAGTCTAAAATAGGCCTGAGGTTTTATAAGTCTAAAATAGCCCTCTGGGATTTGGAAATAACAGGAGTAGAAACCTTTGCCCCGGAGCGCTAGAGGAACTTCCACTATCACCCTGACTTGTAGAAATGTTTGCACCTCCTGTACTAGAAGTTACTCATAAGAAAGGTCCCTGAAGAGGGCTGGGAGAAAACAGAATGGGAGAGAACATTATTCAGCCCCAGGCATGGTAGAAATGGAACGGACAATTCACAAAAAGGGGGAAGGATCCAGGATGTGGACTGGCTGCACCTTCAAAAGGTTTACTTGGAAGCCCGGGATTGCCTTGTCAAGCCCTGGCCCTGGTTAGAAGAGGACTGTAGAGGACTCTGCCCGTTTCTCCTACCCCCTTTCCTGCTATAACGCTGAAGTACTGCTTGCAGATTAGCGATTTGATGCTAGAGCCCCCTGGTGGATAGCTGAAGAAGTCCAGTTTCTTTGCATCCGGATTTCGACAGTTCTGTGTATGCAGACAGAGTCAATGATGTGGGTTTTGCCTGGGCAGGAGCTGAGTGTCCCATCCCGGGACATACTCCCCAGGCACCATGTCGCTCCACAGCTCTAACAGTTGGCAAACGGTCTCAGTTCCTCTCTGCAACAGCAGATTGCGACTCATGCCAAAAGGATGCCAAATTTGTCTTGGGTTTTGGAGAGTGGTGGTGCCATAAGTCTTTGGGGGACAGGTCTTTTGCCAGGGCTGTGGCCTCCCTTACAAGACAGGTACCCTGCACTCTGCACTGCTGGGCTTTGGTGCTGACATGGGCGGTGCCATGTAGGGCCCAGGATGAAAAGCTAACTCCATAAGGAGGAGTTTAAGTCTGAAGATCCCCTCCCTTTTTGTTCTTGATTGGAAGCTCCTGCAAATCTCACCCTTATTGGTCTTATGGGCTTCCCCCAAACACTTGAAGCAGAAGTCATGAGGCTCTCCCTTGGGCATAGGCTTCTAACAAGACCCACAGGGTTTGAAACTTGAGACTAAGGCATGCCCTGGTTCCCAAAGGGGAGAGTGTGTAGGGGCCAACCTGCATTAAAGGCTTAACTACCAACTAACTACACTAAAGACTAGCAACACTGTCACCCCCCCATGCTTTATGAAAATTGGGTTATGAATATGAATATGCATAACTCGAAGATGCGTTAGACAAAATACCTCTTGTAGCCTATCAGTTTTAATCTTACAATCTGCTGAATGTGCATATCCGATTTCTGTGCATGTATCACATTTGTATGTGAAGTTAAAAAAATGAAGTGTGTTTATAGTTCTAAATGTGCTCAGAAGGGCCATTAGTGATACTTCAGGTTCTTAATGACTCAGTTCTCAAACCAAAGACTTGCCAATGGTCATGTTTGTCCTATAAGCCCAAACTGTGGTTGGCCCTAGAAAGACATGTGACCATACCATCTGGTACTGGAATCCATCTTGAACCTGATATTTTTCCATGGGGATGGGGGATGCCAAACAAAAGATTCCTGCCCTGGGAGAAAGTCAATCTAAGACTGGTCGACACTACACTTTTCTTCTGGAAAAAGCTACGTAAATTGCAAACCGCTATTTGCATATCTTTGTCCGCTTCTTTTTTCAGAAGAGGCTTTTCTGACATTTGGCCCGTCCACACTGGGACAAATGTCAGAAAAAACCCTTTTTCGGAACATCCCTTCTTCCTTGTAAAATGAGGTTTACAGGGATGCCAAAAAAGTGCATCTGCTCTTCCGGAAAAAAATTCAGAAGAGCAGACGTGTTCCCTGGATGCGGCAGAGTTTTTCTGGGATAACTCTGTAGTGTAGACATAACCTAAATAATGAGAAAAACTTAAAAAACAACCAATAGTCTGGTAGCACTTTAAAGACTAACAAAACATGTTGATGGTATCATGAGCTCTCGTGGGCACAGCCCACTTCTTCAGATGACCAGAGAAGCGATCTACCTTCAGCTGGCCTTTGAAACTTCCTGGCACACCCTCCAAGGATACAAAGAACTTTGAAGAAGCTTTAGATCCAAGCTGATGTAAAGATCAACTCTGATTTGAAGCTCTTTACTGAAGATAAGAACAGCTGTTTAAGGTAAGAATCTGCATGTAACAAGTTTCTTGGTGGATTAGAACTAGCTAAGCGGTTTTTGTTCATTTTAATTTACTAACTTGCTTTGATCTGACCGTTTCACTTGCAACCGCATAAATCTTACCTTTCATACTTAATAAAAACACTTCTGTTTATTATCAAGTGCAGTGTAAATAACTGTTAGCTGGGGGGAAGAACCACTGTGCATTCAGTTGGAGTTTTGGTCCCATGTGGGGGTTGGTTTCCTGTGTGCTGAGAACTGAATCCTCCCAGAGCTGAACTGGATCAGTGCGTTGCTCTCCAGGGGGGGCAGTAACCCCAGCTCTGTGCCTGGTCTAGGGGAGACCAGAGGATCTGGCCCAGGAGGACAGGGAGGTAGGGAGCTCGCAAGAGCTGGAAGGTAGGCAGCAGTGGCATGATCAGCATGCCAGGAGACAACCCCAAGGGGACTTCTGTGGCGTCAACCTGTCACAAATACTACGTGAATAAACTACTTACAAGACCAAGAAAGCGAATGCTAGGGAACTGGTTGCCCCAGGCGACAGACCAGAAAGCCCCAACCACCTCACTGGCAGTAAGAAGAAACTGAAGCAACAGCAGGGACCTATATATAGCTCCCTAAAGGCACCACTCCAGGGGGCTCCACAGCTGATCCAATGGGTACCGCTACCCTAATAATGACATGGACTGCAGCAGCACATTTGGCTTTGTATTGCCTCCAGGAATTGCTTCTCCATGTCCCTTTTTCCATGGGGTATTTTTTTTGGGGGGGGGGTCATACCAATGAGGTCCTTGGCAACTGCAATGCTGTCTTTGGCCACTACAATCTCCTTGGAGAACAATCTGTCTGATTTTCTCTGCATGCTCAAATGCTGCCTCCACCTCTCTGCTATTTTAAATGACATGTGAAAACATTTCAGCCGGAGTTTTCTTTTTTCTTTCCCTCAGGTTAGGCAACTACTCAGCCATTGACAAAAGCCCTGTCCTTGACCATCTGGTTGGTTGGTGCACATGCCATGTCGGAGTTAAACATTCACAAGCAATCACTATTCGTATTGTAGAGAGGCTGTGATGGCATTTTTTTCTTATATGCATATCTGGGTTCTCTCCCTGAGATTCTTTCCAGACTCAGGAGAACCTCGGCCATGTATACTGGCATTTCTGTCTGTGCAGTGTATGCTGTGTGACCCTGCCATTGTGCCTGGGACACTGTCCAGGAGGAGAGACAGAGGTGAGGTTGGGAATGATAGTTCAGTTCTGGCACTGGAGTTTTGCTGTGCTTTGGAGGTGCTTATATGGTGTGAGAGGGGACATCAGGGCCTACATGGGAGTGAGCCATACAGTCATACCCTTTACATTCCACTTTGGCTGTCCTGGCTCTGCAGGACCTGAGACAGGTAAGGAGGAAGCAGAGAAGTGACTTAATTAAAAAGGCAAAGGGCACACCAGTGAGATGCCACACTCAAGTTATTCACCAAGATAGCCCCCCATAAGTGCTACAGAAGCAGAAGGGAATTGCAGACTGTACCAGGAATAACCATGCAGCTTTTCCTCATAATCTACAAACAACAACTAAGCAATTTCTCAGTCTTACATTTTGCTTTATCTCCCCTGTACGGGGGAACATGGTGAAAAAGCAGAGAAAAACTGATAGGGTTCTGTGATGATTGCCTGAAGCATTTGCTTTTACCAGTTGAACTCTGTGTAAGTCTGTGAAAAGCTGTTAAGAGTTTTGTTATCCTCACAGCAAAGCATATTTACTATAAGAATGTGTGTTACAAGGCATTTATACTCAGCAGGGAATTGTACTCTTTGTAGCTTTATGGGCACACAATGTGCATGTCTACCTCACACAAAGTGAGAGCACTAACCAAACTGCTTTTCCTTTAATCACTGTCTCAATAAACTAGTGCAATTTGCACAAAATAATGTTTTCATTATTTGAATCTGCTGGGGGGAGAGGCTGAAGCTGCACCGTCCTGCCAACCATCATTCTGAGCTAGAGAATGGGGTGGGGGAGGTTGGTGGTACAGGCAGCCTTCCATAACGTGGGCCTGAAAATGGTTAGTAGTCAGAGTTTCAGCATGAGATTGAGGTCAACTGCCCAGCTGCAGTCGCCACCATTTTGGAAAGATATATGGTGGAGGGGAGAACAGGCAGCCTGGGCTGGAGGCAGGGATCTTGGACTCACGCCTGTCTACAATGGGACACCTAGAACAGAAATGGCACAGCAGTGCAGTTTAACAATAATCAATTAAAACTTATATATTAAATTTCTAATCAATAAAAACACACATGCCAAGGTTCCCTCCATAGGATCTGGTCTGGGTTGCTGTCTGGGAATCATGCAAGCTGGCTGCCATCAGGGTCATGAGTCTTGAAGAGACTCTGACTTTCCAGGGAGATCTCTTTACTTGCCTCCTCATGCTCATTTCCCAATGAATTTTGTTGGTCGTGCCAGTCATTCTAAGAGATGAGGTGGCAGGGAGAAAGCAGGATCCACAGACCACAAGGTTCAAGTGGTCATGCAGTTATGTAAAGTCCTGTCCAGCTCCTCAAAACCTGGACAAGTTACATGTCCTCTGCCATGCTTTTTCCTTAATTGGACTAATGGTTGCTCGTGATAGAGACAAGCTTTAGAGATGACAAAGAGCTCTTCTAAGCTTGTCTTTCTCAGTAAGAGAAGTTGGTTTAACAAAAGATATTACTCACTCGCCTTGTCTCTCTAATATTCTGGTATTAGCACAGCTGCAACAACACTACATACAGCAGATTTCTTCCTGTCAACTTTAGTTTTAACATAAGTGCTCCTGAACTATTTGCTCTTTATTTGGCAATTTTTGTCTTCTCAGTCATGCTTCTTGAGGACATCTACCTAGCAATATCCACAAGATAATTATTCTGGCCACATGAACTTCCTGTATTGATGCTTCTCCCCAGATGGTGATGAAATCCAGGGTCTCAGCTCAGCTCCAAGTATCTGCTCAAGGCATTTTGTAAGGCTTCTGAAATATTATTGCCACTAATGTGATATACTAAAAAATGCAGACACAAAAAGACAGAATCTGGCACCTTTCCTGTTTATAAACAGGGGAGGGGCCAACTGAATGAACTGACCCCAGAGCAGCGGAGAGTACACAGATTAACAGATAGGTCAGTAATTGTCGCTTATGTGGGATACTCAATGGAAGACTGCCAGGGTGGACAATACATCAGACTAACTTGAATTTTTGCAAAGTCAGTTCAATTTGAAAAAAGACTTCAGAGTTCATGATAAATGTGGAGTCAGAGAGATATATTGTGTATACTCAAGGATTTTCAAACAGGATTAATTTGACTTAATCCAGTTTAAATTACCTGTGTAGACAAGCCCTTAGCCTCGTCTCTTTGAACCCCTCACTCTAATAAACTCTTTTTTTCATTTGCTTCTGATTCTTGTTGGGAAACAA